AAGTAAACACCCAACTATATGAATGAATGATAAGTCCTTTTGGTGCTACAAGCAAAACGAAAACAAAACGATCCCTTTTTTTTATCTCTTTTTTTTTTTAAATACAAATGATAGTTTAAACTATAAGATGAGAGAGTTTCTCACACACACATACCAAGGTGCCAAGGGGATCGAACCTCAGTTTACAAATCAATATCATTTTCAACTATATTAGACCCTGTTGGCAAACGATCCACTTCTTGTAAAAAAATACAAACGATAGCTTAAACTATAAGATGAGAGAGTTTCTCACACACACATACCAAGGTGCCAAGGGGATCGAACCTCAGTTTACAAATCAATATCATTTTCCACTATATTAGACCCTGTTGGCAAACGATCCACTTCTTGTAAAGCATGATTTCTTTAAATCCACTTATATTCGTTTTTGAAAAACATGAGGAGCAAAAAACGCAAAGGGGTCTCTACCTCCAGCTGAATTATTTGACTTAATGCCATAGGAGGAGGCATTCAGAACCTTCATATGTCTCAGTGGAATGATGGATATCCATGATCCATGCCCGACCTATATCATTCTATTGTAGTCAACTATTTAAGCCCAGCAGAGTTGGGTCCATCCCACGGGACAATCGTGATTCCATTTGGGTGGTTCCAGTGGAACCCAAATTTGCTTACTTCACCCATTATCTTCTTTCTTTTCTATCTTTGGATAAAAGAAAAGTTCTTAAAATTGTAAACTTAGAATTTGATATTTGAATTATTCTCGAATTCCCCGATTCATGACTTCTTTATGTTTGCTTACTTAGAATTCTGAGACGTTATGAATCGGAAAAGTGAGGAATACTCATTCCAATGTAAGTAAACATTCATTCAAATTAGAACTCCTTTAAACTTACTATAATTTGAAAATCAATAATTCAGAATAATTCTTCAAAGTGACCAACTTTGGATGGACCAAAAATCAACTTCCACTTTCTACAGTACACAATTCACAGCATGCATCACACATGTGGACTTTTTTGTTCTTGGTGCAAACTTCTAAGAAAAAAAAGTGGAACAGATCACATCAACAAGTGAACAGTGCATTGGATCCTTAAAAGATCACATGTAACAATTAACAAATCGTAACAAACAAAAACCAAACAAATAAATCCAAAAAATAAAAGAAGGTAAAAGGAAGACTACTGTTAATGACTCAATGTGAAAGCCAGGGCTCCCTCCAGAGAGCCTGACTGGCCTGACTGCCCCTGAGCCACTGACTCATCCCAGTCAGGTCTTCTTGCTCAGCATCCATCCACTGCCCAGAACCCAGTACACTGCGTGTCGCCTCCCCATTAGCCCTCCCCCTCCAAGTACCGTCGGTTAACCCTAATATTTTACTATTAATTCTGAAAAGAAGATAAAGTCACTAACTTGTGAACCCTCCCGTGTTTTAATCTCCATTTTCTCTCCCCCATCACATCACCACTTCATCGTTCACCATTCATCATCAGAACCGTTAAACGGGAACACGTAGGTGGAGATGCACCTGATCGTGACACTAGCCTAAGAAGAAGAAGATGGATATGGTTTCGTTTGTCTTTGAGAAGTACAGAAAAGCAGCCTTTCAGAACACCTGCCCACCTCTGTACTTCCCTTCCGCTTCTTATATCGCCAAGGGGAACAGTAAATTTCACTCGTTATTATACATCTAGTGGAATGACGTGTTTGCCCCTCTTGCATGCTTGGCTTGTTCTGTAATAAAGCTTGAGAATCTCTACAGAGATATGGGTTTTCGTCACGTTGTCCGAGGAAGAGATGATGATGGTGATGGTGATTGTGAAAATTACCATCTATTACACAAACGCCAATCTTAATCTCCACATTCCATTATGCCAATTTTACCAAGCTTTGCCCCCATCAATTTCACCGTCAAAGATTTCTTGTTACTACCTACTGCCAAAAATAAATAAATAAACCCAAAAGAGAGAGTGTGTACATCTCAAAATCATGTCATATAGTCAATGGGTTCTCACCATAGTGGTGGTCGTTTCCTCCTTACAGCAACCCAGTTCGAACTTGTTCGGACTCCAATGTAACCAACAAAAATCACGTCATGGATTTTGGGCCCTTCAAAATGTTGATTTTGTGCCATAAACTAGCAGACCACGCAGACAAGTGGACAAGAAGCAAGAAAGTTAAGGAAAACTTCACTTCTTATTAGCAGTTTTAGCACTCTGAGGAGCAACATCTACACGCATGAGTTTCATTATTAAAATAATTATTTTTATTAAAAAAGAAAAATCTTAAACTCTAGGGCTAACATAACATAACATAACAAGTTTAAAAGTTCATTGGGTGGTGGGACCAATTAGAAGAACCCTAAAGAGTGTTTCATTCTGAAATGTCGAGTTTGAAACCATCAAACCCCAGTTTGCTTAGTTCCTCGGGAAACATCCCATATGTAAGAGGGTAGTTTCGGAATAAAGTAAAATGGTCTTGTTTTTATAGGAACAGAACACTACACACACCAACCACAGTGCCAAAGACTAAAAACAAAGCTAGAGAAGAAGCCGTGGTCTTCATCTGTGTGTGGTTTTCACACTGCGGGAAAATATGGATCCAGACGCCTTCTCAGCGAGCTTCTTCAAGTGGGACCTACGAGGCATGGTTGTTCCGCCGAGTCGGGCTCAGCTAGAAGCCGCCGTGACGCCTCAAGCTGCGGCTGCGGCTTACGCTGCCGTGAGGCCCCCGAGAGAGCTCGGAGGGCTTGAGGACTTATTCCAGGCTTATGGGGTCAGATACTACACGGCAGCGAAGATAGCCGAGCTCGGCTTTACTGTCAACACCCTTTTGGATATGAGGGACGGTGAGCTTGACGACATGATGAGTAGCCTCTCTCAGATATTCAGGTGGGATTTGCTTGTGGGTGAGAGGTACGGTATCAAAGCCGCCGTCAGAGCAGAGCGTCGCCCCCCCCGTGCCGCGGGACCGCCCTAGATGCTCTCTCCCAAGAAGGTTCGTTAGTCACTATTACATGAATTCCTAGAATGAAAATTTACATGTTAGCATAAAATTATACACGCAATATTTTATCATAAGATGCAAAATTATTTAATCAATTTGTTACAATATTTCATCATAAAACATTTTTTTTATTTGAATCGAACAAAAAACTAATTTTTATTTAATAATATAACATGTGAAACTATTTAATTGTTACCATATTTCGTCATAAATTTTTTTGAATATGTATGTATATGACATGGGGTGCATGGGATTGTAGGGTTGTCGGAGGAGCCGGTGCAACAAGAGAAGGAGATGGTGGGGAGCGGCGGAGGGGCCGCGTGGGAAGTGGTGGCGGCGGCGGGGGAGAAGCGGAAGAAGCAGCGAAGGACGAGGAAGGGGCAATATAGGAATTTCAATGGCATCGGAGGGGGGCATAATAATGATCATAATGAGGGTGTGGACAACGAGGATGACAACGACATGGACGACATGAATGGGCACGGGAACGGTGCAGGAAGGGGGTTGCTGAGCGAGAGGCAGAGGGAGCACCCGTTCATTGTGACTGAGCCTGGGGAGGTGGCACGTGGCAAAAAGAACGGCCTAGATTACCTCTTCCATCTCTACGAGCAGTGCCGTGATTTCTTGATCCAGGTCCAAAACATTGCAAAGGATCGCGGTGAAAAATGTCCAACCAAGGTACGGAGTTTACCCAACAACCCCGTCTTCATAACCTAAATGCATACGCTGATTTATACTGTGGTAAATAGTAAATACTAAAATAGTAACTTGTCGCATGGACTATCATTCCTGGTCAATGTGGTCCCATTTCCGCAAGTACAAACAAATACAATCTAGTGGCCCGACAGTTTCAATTGGAAAGGCCTGCTGACAGCATCAATATAATGTTTGAGCTAACTCTGGACCGGGTCTGAATTTTTCATTGATTATGTGGCAGACTAAGTTCACAATAATTTTTTTGAAAAAGATCATTGTGAATAAGATCATATTCCTACTTTGGTCTATATTTGATCTGCTCTGTTAGAAATATATAGCGATTCCAGTAATGATGTTAATATGACGTAGAATTGGATAATTGGTTAGCTTAATAAAGGTAGAGATTTTCACACTCACGTTTTGTTAACTCCGCTCTTTGTTATATTTTGATGATCTATCATCTACTTTTATTTCTCAAGGTAGAAAAACAATAGAAAAGTGCAAACGGATAAAATCGGAGTTAGGTATCCAATATTTGTAAATAATGAATGATTTATCTTGTGACCATGACAAGTGAATTGTTGTATTTTGGTTATGTGAACATGAATTATTGTGCAGGTAACAAACCAAGTGTTTAGGTTTGCAAAAAAGGCAGGGGCAAGCTACATCAACAAGCCCAAGATGCGACACTACGTGCATTGCTATGCGCTGCATTGCTTGGACGAGGAGGCCTCCAATGCACTGAGGAGAGTTTTTAAGGAGAGAGGCGAAAATGTGGGGGCCTGGAGACAGGCATGTTACAAGCCTCTTGTGGCCATTGCAGCAGGCCAAGGCTGGGACATTGATGCCATCTTCAATTCTCATCCCCGACTCTCCATTTGGTATGTTCCCACCAAGCTCCGTCAGCTTTGTCACACCGAGCGCAACAATGCCACAGCCTCTAGCTCTGCCTCCGGTGGTGGTGGCGGTGATCACCTACCCTACTGATCAGAGTGCATGCCCCTCAATATGAGCTTGAAGAAAGAGAGAATTTGAGGAAATGAACTAGTGCGTTTTATGTACTTTAGGTTAGAACTTAGAACGGAGACAGTTATATGGATGAGTCTTATTTAGGATCTTTATGTTATGATGTTTCAAAAGTTAGCTATATTTAACTGTTTTTACTAATCTACCACTGATAAAAATCTAATCTGCTTGTTAATGGAATGTGTAATTGTACGCGTGTTTTTCAGAGCACTTTCATCCATGTGTCATGACAAATGGTAAGAGCAAGTAAGGGCATACGCTATTCCCTACCCTTTTGTGTTTTGCTTTTCTACCCATTACCATGGCAGTACAAGAAAAATTACTATTCATATGAGATTAATTTTATTTATATGTATGAGATTAATAAATAAAAAAATTGCTAGGTATGTATAAAAAAATATTTCTAATATTATTAAAAATTTTAAACATTTTTTACGTTGATGACAAATGGAAAGAAATATAAAGAAATCATAGGACTTAAACATTTAAAATGTTTTGATAGTGAGAGATTGCCCTCCTCAAATAGCCTCATCACTTAAACTCCTCATTATAGCCTCTCCCTTAAAAAAGTTATACAGACTCATTGGTATTATTAACGATTGTGAACTATTGATTGAGATGAAATCTATACCAACTAAGACCAACCCCAATGGGGGCTCTAAAGGGGGGCTACTCCACCTTTGGGCTCCTATAAATGCAAACTCATGCAAAAAAAAAGCATCCTCAATGGTCTAATTTTGAGACCCTAAATCCTTGAGTCTCACTGGAGCTGAACCTAAATGTATGGACATGGTTGAAACCCTTGAAACTCAGTGAGACCTACGTGGAGGAAAAGCTGCCAACCCACTTGCTGTGTTGATAACGCCCCTTGCGACTTCCGCATCCCTACTTGCCAAAAAGATGGTTGTTGACCTTTTTTTTTATAATCATTTGACCAATTGCAACAAGCTTGTCACATTGTTTTTGTCTTGAATTTTTTTTTTGGGGGGGGTAAAGTTGACTTAGGCTACAACCCTCAAGTTCTAAACGGCTAGGCTTTATATATATATATATATATATATATATGTTTAACCATGTTGAATCTTGTCCAATTTTTTATATTTTTGGGTTGAAATGTTCACACACACAAAAAAAAAAACAAAAAAAAAAACTAACATAAAGAAGTTTTTTAAAAAAAATAGCACCTAAATTAAATTACATCATTAAAAAACAAAAAAAAATCAAACCCCTAATATAGAGCCGGGGATATGGAACTTCTCATTGTGGGAGAGATGCCTTTAAAGTCCCAAATATTCCATTGAAACTCTAAATAGGGCTCTATTAACTTCTTTTAAAGCCCCAATCACCAGGGATAGAGTACCAATTCTTCGTGTATGTGATGATTTTAACTTAGGGCGGAGCGAAGTGATGATTTTAAATTAGGATAAGGGGTGTGAGGGTAGGGCCCAATGTATGGATTGTAAATACGACTTTGGCAACAAAAGTTTACTTATACTTTTTTTGTGGGATGGGTCATGTTGACTCACCAAACCAATAATTCTGTTACAAACTAGGATGGGCTGGTGGCAAAATCCGTTTCAGCCCATAAAATAGGAGCCCTGGGTGCAGAAGACGACAATGTTCTCCAAGAAACGACAGCGAACCGACTGCAGGACGAGTCGCGTTGCCGCTTATTTCAAACGTGACAAAACGACTGACGTTTGGTATAAACCAAAACGAAAAACCGGCGCTTAAATTCAAAAGTCTAAAAAGAAATTCCCTTCAAACTCAGTGTGATGAGATTCCCGCCAAATCATGGGAAGCCATAGGAGATCATCTGAGACTTCTGCGCCGGAGCTCCGGTCAAAACTCAGAAGAGTCGTCTCCGGCCACGAGCAAATGAAGATCGCGTTCCACCAGCTCAAATCTCAGATTCGAATCGGTCTCTTCCAAGTATATATATATAATTTCTCTCAAATTTTCAATTTCATGTGAATTCAAACTGATACATATATTTCTGAAATTAATCGCAATTACATTGTTTTGTATAATCATGGAGGCGGAAGAGGTCTTCGCCTCTCTCGCAATTCCATTGATGAAGCTTGTAGGTCTCAAGACGGTTGAGATGGCGAACGAGGACCGATTCACGACCATCATCATCCCAGCAAACACCGATTCTCATCACCAGGTTTCACTTTCAAAAACAATTCCATCTCAACGCCACCTTCTTTTTCTTATTTTTAAACAAAATTTAATTTAAATTCATCGCAGAGTTTCGGATCTGGATCTTCGGATCGGAACCGTCTCTCTGTGAAAGAAGAGATCTGCGCTGCCAAGGCCTCCATGGCAGGCAAGCTCGTAATGGAGAAGCAAAAAGATCAGCTGATTCAGCTGATCCGGATTCTCAAACGAATCGAGACTCAAGTCAACGCTCGCCAGAGCCACATGGTCCAAACCCTAACTCACAGTCGACTTTACCTCGACAAGTTCTTCCACAGAGCGATCGATTATCTATCCACCGTTGACGGCGTTGACCACCAGACCTTTCGAATTTCAGTATTGAAGCTCCTCCGAGCAGCGTTTCACGAAGTGGGTGCAGTGCTGGGCTCCGTGGAGAGCGATGTGGAGGAGCTTTTGCAGGATTTGGGCGCGCAGATGTGTGACCCCATGGTGCAGTACGTGGAGGGTGTTAAGGCTGATTTGAGTGATGGGGGTTGTGTGAGGTTAGTGGGCTTGGTGAAGGAGATGGCAATGGCGGCGAGAGAGGTGAGGGTTGAGTTGGAGGCGACAAGGAACAAGGCCTCGGTTGCAGAAGCGAGCAGATTTGAGGCTTTGAGTAGGCTCCGTGAAGCAGAGGACAATGTGAGCAAATTGAAGGAGTGTCTCAAGTTGCTGCCTGAGCCCAATAGGGCTTCTGCCAAAGTAACCAAGGCTTTTGCTCCACACAAGGTACCAGCCCTTGTCTTTGTTGCATTTGAGATTCAATGTTGGATATGCACTATTGCTCCTATTAGTTGCAGTGACACATTAGAAGATGACATCTAATCTAGTTAACTAATAACTACTTAGTGAATTTGAGTAAAGCTAGAAGGATTATGTTTGTTAACCGTATTAGTTGATCTCATAATTTTGAAATTAACATATTATTCGTCATAATAATTGATGTAATAAGTACATATCAACTGTCGCATCATATGATTGGTTACTAATGTAGTTGTTTAACATTTTTCACACTATCTAGCCCTTATTAGCTACTAAAAACCCTTAACTCTGTGAGATGCGTACTTGAATCTACTATGTCCTCTCTGTTTTTTTTTTTTTGTTCATGTGAAGTTTCTAGGCATGGAGAAAGAACAAACAAACGATGAGAAGCTGTTGTGGGCGCTGTTGGAAAAGAAAAGGAAGTATCAAACACCAGAGAGCCCACTTGGACCCAGCGAGCTTCTTCCCCTTCCATCAATTTATATGCGCCAAAGATCAACCAGGGCAAAGCCAACAGCAGTAACTAGAACAAACAAACGATGAGAAGCTGTTGTGGGCGCTGTTGGAAAAGAAAAGGAAGTATCAAACACCAGAGAGCCCACTTGGACCCAGCGAGCTTCTTCCCCTTCCATCAATTTATATGCGCCAAAGATCAACCAGGGCAAAGCCAACAGCAGTAACTAGGACTTATTCACCGCGTGCAAGAACCACTCCACGTTTGGATGCTCGGATACTATTGGGCTCATCTCCTTCGGCGACAATTCAGAAAGCTGCTCCACTCAAGCAAATCTCTCCCAAAATGCATGCTTAACAAGGTGTGGATTTTTGCTGTCTATTTCTCAGTTTCAATGTGTAGGATTTGGACTCGCCCAATGAGCATGCATAAACCATTTTCTCTGTTTTATGTTTGTGTGCTGTTTTTGTCCTTTTCAGAACTTTTAATAGGGTCAGGTCAGGCCAGGAGAATAGGAGACAGACAGAAAAGTAGACAAACTTTGGTGGGTTTAGAGATATTGGGTTTAAGATAATATGTTGAACCTGAAAAGTTTTATTCCATTGACCAAAAAAAAAGTTTTATTCCAAAAAATGTATAGTTTTATATTAATATCCACTATTGATAATGGGGAAATTTGAAACCACCCATGCCTAGCTCTACATTTTGTCACTAGGTTCTATGCAGAATGGGAACTATTTCTTTATTACTTGGAGAATATACATATATTAGATTCGATGCCATCTTATCCCGTGTTGCCGAAAACCACATGGTCCACTGAGAATACATGGTCGATGCTCCAATAGAAAATGTAATAGACAAGAATTTCTCACAATTCAATATCATATTATAATTTTGATATGCGTAATCACTCTCAAACTATACGATTGAAGTAAATTTAATTCTATAAAAGTTCTGAATGTCGGACCTTTAAATTAAGGGTGCATTTTTGCTCACCACCTTAACTCTAGGTGTACTCTCACCACCCCTCCCAAAAGTTGACTCATGTTCATGAGTTTAACTATAGTTAATTCTCATTTTTTATTTATTTGATAACATTATTATGAGAGAGAAACAATACTTCAATAAGATTTTTCCTGATTTACCCTTATTAACCTAGCAAACTTTCCACTTTTCTAAAATTAATTAACAACTACCCAAATAATAATCTATGCTGCTCTTCAATTGCAAGCTTCCTCCATTTGTTCAGTGAAAGATAGGTAATAATCTATGTTGCTTTTTTTTTTTTTGGGTAGTACTTTGTATTGCTTGATTATTTTTTATACTTTCGTGATTGCTCTGCGTTATTTAGTTTTTTTAGTCCATGATGTTGGTATCGTCTTTACTGGTGGATCAAGACTAGCATAGAAAGGAATGATAGAATGAACCGTACTGCAGAGCCAGAGGAATGAGACAATGAAGGGTATTATTGCAGAGCTTGGTTCCTTCATCGTTTTTGGAATTTCTGCAACTCCAATATATTTTGCTCCTATGGAGTAAGCTTTATTCAGAATAATAAAACCAGAATTAATTAGTCCAGAACTTGCAACATCATAATTAACTCATCGGTTGAAGAAAGAAAACAGGTTCAAGGATATTGAGAAATTGCAACGTAATAATATATTAAAGAGCAGTGTAACTTTTGGGCGTGTATAAAAGGAGTTAACTAAAGCCAATTGAGATTCAAAGTATCTGGGTGTGTTCTTCAAAGAATTGAAGCCTGTGAATTGATATTCATATTAAAGCACGGGATATAAAGCCAATTGCCAATTATTTATTTGGGTAGTTGTTAATTAATTTAGAAAGGTTGAAAGTTTGCTAGGTTAATAAGGGTAAATCAGGAAAAATCTTATTGAAGTATTGTTTCTCTCTCATAACAATGTTATCAAATAAATAAAAAATAAAGAATTAACTATAGTTAAATCAATTGACATGTGTCAACTTTTGGCAGGGGTGGTGAAGGTACACCTAGGGTTAAGATGGTGATCATATTCCATATTCCACAGTGCTTGTGCACAAGATTGACATGCTTTTTAAGTATGTTTCATTCTAATCATGTCATTTTAAAAACTAATTTTGTAGCAAATATGGTAATTCAGGATCATAATATAGGACAGGCATGTTTGGATCCATTCTCCTCCATCAAAAGCGGTTCTTTATTTTTAAGATGCCTGGTAGGCTTTTATTTGTAACTTCCATTCTCTCATATATATAATTTAAATTAAAAAAAGACTATTTTTGAATTGCAATAAAGTATAATTAAAAAAAAAAGCAATTTTTTATTTTTTAAAAGGGTTTTTAAGTTTAATAGTCCTTGAATTTTGACTTGATTCGCATTTTTATCCCTCAATTTTCAAAATCCTTCAACTTCAGTTTCGTTGGACAAATGAACCTGTCATTAATTTTGTTATCTTTTATGTTGAAAGCATAAGCAAAATAGTATTTTTATATTATTTTTAATTTCAATCTTTCAAATATTCCTCACTTGAAAAATAAACATAAAAACTGAAAACTGAAAAACCTTCGTCTTATCCTCGCGCCATAACTCCTTGACCAAACAGAAAAATGAAGACACGTGTGATTTGACAACGCATATTAGGTGGTAAAAAAGTCAATAAGCTGATAATGATGGTGGAGTGGGGGCCATGCAATGACAAAGGGTAGTTTTACAAACTGAGTAATCTTATTAATCAAACTAAATATCTTGTTTTGGTGAATTAAAAAAAGGGGTGTTGCTAAATGAAATTTAAAATTAATTGAGTACACTCTAATACTAAAATTTTATTGAATTACTAATTTATCTTAGTATAAAATACAAAAAGAATATATTGAATCGTTAAACAAATATAATTTTAATAAGTACATCACTCACCATATTTAACTCTAATCAAATCGTCGCCATAGTTTTATCGTCTTTAACCTAACCCTTAGTCTTTCACGGGGCAACAATACCGTCCACCACATCATCGTCATCGAATGGAGGAAATGCAACTTCACTGAATATGATATCTGGTGGATTGGCTTTTGAAAAAGAGGTACAACTTCCCTCATATGTAGTTGATTTGCCTGGCACCATTTTTTCTAAAGGAAGATAACGGCTTTTGGGTCAATTGTTAATAATATGAACAAGATAATAGCAAAGATCTTAGATGGGTCGATTGCATATTGGAATTTAGTCTAAATTGATTTTGTGTTTCTCGTGTGCTCAATGTTCTAGGAAAAGCAATAGGGAAAATAAAATAAAAATCACTAAAACATGTCTAAACACAATCATATATTCAATTTGGAGCGATAGAAACAAATCCATGGAGGTACCAGAACACAACAAGGTGGGTTTGGTGGTCTGATAGTGTTTGGTAGCGAACTCTCCAATGAATTTGATGTTGTGTGATAGAGTGTAGGGTGTAGTAAGGGTATTTCTGGTAATTAAATATGGTGTACTTAGTTAATTTTATATTCTAATTTAAATATTATGGTGCACTTTTTAAATCATATATAATGTACTAAATTAATTTTAGGGTTTGTTTAGTAACACTTATAAAAAAAATAGTAAATATTGGTTTCAACAACCCTGCTGCTGACCAGACCACCATTAATTGCTCTCGCAAATCCGGGGATTTGGTTGGATTGCTTTAAGTGCCACTTTTTGGATACAGAAAATGGACTTTTTGAGTAATGCAGTTAACTTTTCCATTTCAGAAGATAAATATAACTAAATTACTAGGGTGCAATGACAAAAAAAATATGCACCTTTGATTTCCAATAATGCCCACGTGCAAGCTCTTTAACTACCACAGTGCCATTTCAAAAGTAATTCCCTTTTGTTTTTTCTAATGCCCAAGTACTTTTTGTAACCTTAAGATGATATATTGATCATGTAAATGGTGGTTTGCAAAATTAAGGCAATTATGAAGTCATGTGTAGTAATTGTTAGTTAGGAATATCGATTCAATGTAAAACAAATACATCATAACAAGGAAATGAAAGTAAATGCATCACTCTCTTATTAACAATAAATGAAAGAGACATTTCCATCACATATAATAAAGAAGAACCTAACATCAACTTTAGTGCAGGCATAAGTAAGGTTCCTTATGCTTCAATTTTGTTTCAGACAAATCGAACTGAATGGATGACATACGTAGTAACAAGTATACTTTTGAATGTTTACACGTATCCATTAAATTTGATTAAATTTATTAAATAATCGATAATCATTAATATTAACAAAAAATGATCATTATTTTGTTGATGTAAAGATTTGTCATATACATATATAAAGCAAAAAGTATAAAATGATGAAACATTCAAAAGTTTTTCAGTCCAGGCAATAAATGGACTGGTATTTGACCCCAAGTTTGAGTTATTTCAAATTTCGACCCCTTACTTTTTCATGGGTTGAGAGATGAATTGAGCTACAATTTGAAATTTGTTGAATTTGGCCTCATGAATTGGAGATGGCCTAAGTGAACTATTTTCCCCGTGCAACACATGAATCACAATATGTACATAATGCTACTTACTCAATAATTTTAAATAAACCTTAAAATTCCAAATATATAGTTTTAAAAGAAAAAAGTAATCTTCGGTGTATTTTGTCATCCCAATGTCTCTTTTTAGCTTTTGTTTTATAAAAACAAGTAATATATAACAAAGAAACTTCATGGCAGAACAATAAAGGGACGAAGAAATCATGGGTAGATTCGTCATTACTGCACTAAAATATCATTAAATCATTATGTAATTGTATTTTTATTTTTATTTTTTGTAAAAGGAAATTGTATTTTATTATTTGTATGTGGGAAAACCTGGCCAGGATCGTACAGGCGAAGCGCACTCAAACGAGTCGGAAGCGGGATCGACATTTGGCACCAAAATTTGAAATCAGTCAACGAAAACACTTCTATTTGACTTCTACCAACGTGGACCATATCCCGATTGACACGTACCAACTTCCGCAGACCGCGGCACACCAGATTACCTCCAAAATTTCAAAACCACTCCAACACATTTCAATAACCCGCCGTCCCTCAATCTCCCTCTTTATACATTCCGAGTCTTTCCAAATCCATCGCTCCTCCAACGTCTTTCCCTCACATTGTCCTTAAGTCTCTTACTCTCAGACGCATTTAACTTCCCTGTCCTTATCGTACAGTCCTCCATGGCGTACGTTAGCCATCTGCCGTGCGACGGCGACGGCGTCTGCATGCTCTGCAAGAGGAAACCGTCGGACGAGGACAAGCTCACCTGCAAGACCTGCGTCACGCCCTGGCACGTGGCCTGCCTCGTGACCCGACCCGAAAGCCTGGCATCCACTCTCCAGTGGGAGTGCCCAGACTGCACGACGTTCTCCGGCGAATCTCCGGCCGCTCCCGCCGTGAACTCCGCCGGCTCCGGCGAGTTGGTCGCGGCGATCCGGGCGATCGAAAATGACGAGTCGTTGACGGAGCAGGAGAAGGCGAAGAAGCGACAGGAGCTGTTGAGCGGCAAAGCTGAAGTGGACGAAGAAGACGGAGGTCGTCAGAAGGGAGGGAGGGACGTCTTGGATGTTCTGGATAAAATTTTCTACTGTTGCTTCTGCATGCAGCTACCGGAGAGACCTGTTACGGTTCGTACGATTCGTCTTATTCTTTTTCTTATTTTTTATTTTCTTAATTTTTAGAAAATATTTGTTTATGTTGGTGTGTTTGGATGCTGATAGATAGTGTTGGTTCTTCTCTGGATGTAGTGCTAGATTCACTGCGTATTTTTATGAACGACACTTCGTTTGCTGTTCCTTTTTCTTTGCCAAAATTTTATTGTCGTTTCCCAGATCGTCTTAGTGTCGTTTCATTTTGTTTCCTCTGCTTACTTAATTTAATTTATGGTTTCATCAATCGAAATTTTTTTTTTTCGGTTACACTTGTTCTGGGTATTCGAGTTGGTGTGAGGGCTTTTTGGCACACATATTAGTGTAATTCTTTTTATTTTTATATATCTTGGACTCGTCGTCCTTGTTCTGTGACTGATTATACATGTTCCTGAGAAAGCGTGATGAGATGAGCTTGTTTTCTCTCATTTTGTATTCTTCCGCTTTTGGGGTTGATTATTACGTTTCCTAAAAGCTTTTCTTCTTTAAAATGATTTTTTTCGCTATTTATGTTTCTGATGCTTTAATTTTAGTCGGATATCCCCAAATTTCTTTAATCTCTGTAGCTTCTCCAACTTGGTTCCTGCCCAAATGTGGAATTGACTAGTTTATTTTGTGAAATTGCCTTTTGTTACCTCTGATCCTGTAATTAGGGTAATGTGGCCCTATCATTTACTTTATATTTTCCTTTGATGGCGCTCTACCTTTTTTGTTCTTAGTGTAGCAGTTCTTATTAGTTTTTAGATTTCTCTTTTGGCACTCATTACTTTATTTTTTTGGAAATTTGAGTTTTCAAATATCTTCATGATGTACTTTACTAATGCTCCAACTAATGCAAAAGGAGTCTACCATCTGTATTCAATCTTTTTGTTGACCATTTGACATCCTCGCTGGTCCACATAGTTTGTTCATTCCCATATTATCCTGCATGGGGTTTGAAGGGGCGATCTGGTTAACATTTATTCAATAAACTAAGAAACTGCTTGGATAGGAAAATGGGATTTGGAATTATTTGGTATTCGAGATAATTTGTGTTTCAGGCGTTGAATGTGGTCTGTATTCATAATGTTTGTGTCATTGCCTATGAAACATCAGAGGAGAATTAGTAGATTGTTGAACTGATATAGTTAAATCATGTTAATAAAAAATTGTTGTATGCTTTCGTTTCCAGACACCATGCGGACACAATTTCTGCCTGAAGTGCTTCCAGAAATGGGTTGGACAAGGGAAGCGTACTTGTGCAAAGTGCCGCAATGCCATTCCTCCCAAAATGGCAAGTCAACCCCGCATCAACTCTTCACTTGTAGTTGCCATCCGTATGGCTAAGGTGTCAAAATCAAATGTTACTGGGGGTCCTGCTAAGATTTATCAGTTTATACAAAACCAAGACAGGCCTGACAAAGCCTACACTACAGACCGGGCTCAGAAGACTGGAAAAGCAAATGCTGCCAGTGGCAAGATATTTGTCACTATTCCA